AAATATGATTGATTGTTACATGATTTTATATTTTACTTCTATATAGATGACCTTATTTCATTATTAGTAAGTGAATGTTACAGTGGACTTGAAATAATTACGTCATTGTGTAAATATATTTCTATATTTTTATTACACACATATATTATTTAAATACTTTAATATATTAAATATGAGAGACGATGATGCTAGTAATTCTAAATAGAAATCATGTTGAAATAGGATTGGCTACTTTAATTAGAAATTAAAGTTGAATTGTTTTTAAAATAACATGAGTTTTATTTTTATTCTGTGAGGCAATAATGAAATTTAATAATTTTGAAAACTGTAATTGAAAGAGTATAAAATCATTGGAGCACCAAAATAAAAAAGACTGAATTAAAAATTTTAATAACTGGTAAAGGAAGGTGCATATGTGGCTAAGCATCCTAAATGAATGTGTCCCAATAATAGTTTTTATTCAGGTTGTTTTACATGAACGGAGCCGAAAATACGCGAAACAATAGACTTATTACATAAACTAACCTAAGAAAGTGTAAGTCCTCAACCTAAATTAAAATTAACCAATAAAATTATCGTATATAATTTATTAGAACACATTTGACATTATGCTTCCTACAGTGAAAATTCTCTGATAAACAGGCCAAAACCGATTTTGAATAAGTTTTTATTTTAAGGTAGATGTCGGTCTTTTGGTTTGTGTGTACACGGGTGTATCTCAATTTCGGTTGAACCAATTTCGATGAAATTCAATAATATGCGAGTTTATTAATGTGCGGATTGATGAACTTTTGGGATTGATCAACTCGGAAACTGGACCTTTTGGTAGGCCGATTTTATATTTTTTCGCAAATAAAATAAAGAGAAACAACCAATTTATTGAAATATTAAATTTAGAATAATAAAATAATGAACCTATAAATTTTATGGAAAGATCAGAGCTCGGAAATCGAACTAGGGGCCGATTTTACATTTTTTACCTTATCATTGTTGAATTTTTTTAAATTTAAATTTTGTACTCCGGTTTTTACCAAAACTGACTGGCGAAAATTCCCACAGAATTCGGATCAGATTTTTTATTAATGCGATTATTAAATTAACTGCCGATTATAAATTATTTGTCAGAAATTGTGGAAACATTTGTTTATAAACAATGAATTGTGTTTTTATTGTGCTGTCGGCTGCATTTAGATGACTAATTTTGATTCAAGTATTTCTTTTTTAAGTTAGGGACTTTTTAAATATTTTTTAATTAGAAATTTAATATTTTCGATATGTGGAATTCCAAATAAAATAAAATCTAACACTGCTTTTTTAACATTTTTAAATTAATTTGGAAAATAAAAGAACCGTTTTTTTAACATCTTTGTATTGAAGTTAAAAAGCTACTTTTTAATTTTTGATTGGAAAAAACTATAGAAAATTGAATTTTCATAAAAGCAACTTAATACGTGCGTATTGAATTGAAAGAATGATCCTAATCTCTTTTAAAAAGAAAACAATTTTTTACGTGATCGCAACTGTGTATTATCGAACTTTATTCATATAGTTTTGAATTCAATAAATGCCAGTCTAAATATGCATGTACACAAATGTATATGAGAATTTTGAAAACATTGAGAATTGAAAAACTATTGGAGAAAGTAACAAAAAGGATAATGTGAGTTGATAAATGGATTTATGCAAATAAATTAGTGTGTGTGTACGAGGATACATTTTTGTTTAATTTATTTTTGTTTTGTGGTTTAGATATTAAACAATAGTGAAAAACCGAACAAAAGGAATTTAATATTTAGGGCTGGATGATTCTTTTCCGCTTGGTTCATTTTTAACACAAAATGAACCTAAAATAAAACCATTTTTTGTTTTTCATTTTATTTGCTTAACAGTCACATACACAAAACTCCTTGATTTCTCTTTTTTATGAGTTGATCTCTTTCACGTGACTTTAACCAGTTCCACGACCAAACATATACGATAAAGAATTTTTTTTATTTTACCTTTTTTTCTTCGTAATCGAAAAAGTTAATTAATCCTTTTTTTTTGCAGTAAATTTTGTTTTTATTTCGTTTTCGTTCCATTTAAAAAAAAAAAAAAAAACAATTCGAAATATAAAAAAAAATCTTGGAGTTTTTCATCATGTCAAATTTTTACTCGAATATTTTTGGTAAAGTTGCTTTATGTTGGAAACAAATATGTGGTGAGAACTTGTGGAAGTGGATATTTTGCGAACTTTGCTACGGTTAATTCAACTTTAGATACTGGAAAATATTTACTTAGGTGCAACATTAGTGTTGCTTTCTGTTCAATTTCCACAAAATTTGTTTATTTCACTCAAAATTATAACAAGATTATATTATTTGACTTTAAGATTTTAGAGATCTTATTTGATATTTAGATTATTAAAAAATTGGTGAATAAAGATTTAGTTGGGAATTGGTTGCTTTTTTATTTTTAAATTTTCGTTTTTTTTTCTAATTTCTGTACATCTATAGTGTTTATACACTAATGACTTCGAAGTTGCCATTATTGTGGTTTTGCTTATTACTCCTGTAAAATTACTAGTTAGCTCAACCAATTAATTTAATAATATTTAGTGTAAACAGAAAACGGCGAGATCTGCATTCATATAAATTGAATAAAATCGAATCAAACCGAAAAGTTTATTTTTCGAGTTTATCTGAAAATTACAACTTACCGTGTTATTTCACAGTTTTGGAATAAGACCAGCATAAACTGGTATAATTTTTAAATAATTCGGATAATTAGGTCTTTGGTAAAAAGTGTAATATTTTAGCCCGATTCACAGTTTGAGACAGAATGAACAGACAGAATTAATTAATTATTGTTTTTGATATCATTGAAAATGTTCTAAAAATAAAATCAAATAAAAAGTAAAATTTATTTTTTTTTATCTCACCATAATAATTTGATCAACTTGTAATTAAAAGTATTTTGTTATTCAAAAATTTTTTCAAATAATATACTCAGACGTGTCTCCTCTATTTTATGCAATATCTTCCTTTAAAATAAAGTTGGTTTTTAAAGTAGCACTTTTCCCTATAACAGGTGAAAACACTGCTTTCAAAAATAATCTAGATGCTCCATTTTCATTAATTTCATACAGTTAAGATGTTCACTATATGCAATCTATGAAATAAAACAAAAAAAATTTTAAAAAGGCTTTAACATAATGCTTAAATTCCGGCGTCGATTGCGTAAGTTAAATTGTCGAAAGTCCGAATTTCACAACTTTAACGTTCAAGTTTAAAGTTCAAGGCGATAACCATAGAAGAGATGGAGGTGGAAAAAATATTTTCTTCTGTCGAAATAAACTTTTTAGTTTCTAAAAGCTGCTAAAATTCCAGACTTCTATAACCACCGGTCGAGAAGGGAAACAATAATAAAAATTTGAAAATAAAATGGATTTTACATAACAATAAAATTTTATGGCCATTTTTTTTGTTAATTCGAATATGGTATTCGGCGGTAGAAGAAGCCTGCCATTACTTTTCTGGGTTCGTAGAATTTAAAATAGTTCAGTTAAAAATCGTATTTTTAGGATTTCGGAGATTATAGCTTTTACAGGACCGAGATAGGTAAAAATTTTTGGAAATAAGTTTCTGGTAAAGATGTGTTTAAGTATGAAATTTCGGCTCTCTATCTTCAAAGGTGTAGATGTTTTTTAAGAGCGTTAAATATTTTTGGAAAAGTGTTAAAGATATAAAATCAATGTGAAATGGCGGTTCGAGTCACAAATTTTACATGAAATACAAAATAGAAGCTAAATTTAAATATTAACAATAAATTTTTCATATATAAATTTCATAAAATTTATGTATCAAATCTGTATTAGGGACAAAACTGCGGATACAGTTAATTTTTCCGATTTGATACAAGTAATTAAAACTTGAAGAAAACAGCACGAAAAATTTACATACAAGTTTGTCGTATTATACGTTATTATATGTTATCATTATATTCAATAGGCGTACTTATATTTACTTAAACAGTAGGAGTATGTGTAGAAACCTAGAAATACAGGGTGTTTCTTTCATGTTAGGTGGCAAATAATTTCAAGGATGATTCTTTAACCAATTTCCAGCAAAAAATCGTATGGATGTGGAAGGGTAACAACTGAGGTTGGAAAAAAAAGGGTATGGATGTTGATTGAAAAACAAACGTGCCAGATATTTCCGTCACATAAATAAATGCTTCGGATATTATGCGAAGATTTCTCTTATTTTCTTTTTTTTCGATCCCCTATAATGAGAGCTAAAAGTTAACCCATATAACATTTTCCTCTATCTCACATAGTTCTTTTAGTAAATGCTCTGAAATGTAATAAAAATGCTAAATTTGTTTAAAAAACTTGCGAAAAATGCACAGTTTACACATTTCATACAAATTCCTTATAATACACACTAAATTAAAAATATTTAGTGTATGTTACATTTTATTACCTAAATCCCGATTATATAAAATACAGGCATTAGAAAAAAAATTTCAAAAACAAGCATTTTCAACAAAAATTCATAGACTTTACACAAAACATGTCTCATTTTGGCAAAATTATCATATAGTTGAAAAATATGTTATCCCGCATCAGCATGTTATCATAATAATCCTCTTGATCATCATCGTTTCTAGTATCAAAATAATTCCATATAGGAGAATTTAAATTTTTCTAGATTTTTTGCTTTTCTTTTCTTTCTTCTACCGAATAACCAATTTTCTACAAAACATAATCATTTGTATTTTTAAAGTACTTTTAATAAATTTAAGCATGAAATATATAAAAAGAATAACAAGGAATTTTATGATTTAAGGATATTAAGAAAGAAAACAAAAAATATTTCGAAATTCTTCTATATTTGAGAAAAATTCCAACTTTTGTTTTCGAAATTCGTATTCAAAGAGAATGAAAAGAGAAAAGGATTACTTTCATTTTGAAAATATCATAAAGGAAAAAATAATTCAGTTTTGTTTTGAACGTTGCTGGAATAACAGCCACTATAGATTTCCGTTGTGAAGAGGCGAAAATTTGCTTTGGAATTTTTTTATTTTATCGTTCTTTGTTTCAAAAAATAAGAGATAGAAAAAAAGAAGATGAACGTTTGATTTTTTTTAATAATTTTTCCTTAAATATTAAAATAATTAGTACCGGTCTAAAATCATAGAAATATTTCTTAATAAGTCAATATTGTAAAATTAAAAAGAAAGTGGACGTTAATAAATTGAATGCCTACTTATGAATTTTTAGAAATTTTCTTGTGTAAGCATCATAATATGGAATTTAATCAAAAATGCATCTACCTACATGTATAAAAAATAAAAGTAATTTTAATTAATAAGTTGGTCCCCTAAATTTTTGTTCCTTATAAAATTTCTATAATTTTCACTGGAAATAATCAAATGAGTAAAAATGTATTGGATACTTAGAAGAACTGGAGCAGCGAATTTCTTTAATTCTTTGAATAATAACAGCAGTAACTCAAAAATGAATCACAACAATAACAATAATAACGGTAAGTTGCTATATTTTTAGATCAAATAGAGATTTTATTCAACAGAATATGAAGATATTTGAAATATGAGTTATGTAATTTTTGAAATTTTCAGAACAAGAGTTTTTTTTATTAATTGCATATATTTAGGTATTATTTAATTATTTTAACATTTTAAGTTGTTGAGCGCGTAAAAAGATTTCTAATAAAAAAATATCTTTACTATGTTCTTTAATAAAATGTTTGTTTTTTTTATATTAAATATTGTAAAGTGATTGTAGGTGGAATTATTTTGAAGTACTTTCGTTGAAATGTTTCCAATTCTTTTAGAATTTAATATAAAACATCATTTTATACAGAGGAGCAATTATTTTCAAGTAATATTTGTAAAAACAGGAGATTTTAGAAATTTTCTTAAATTTTTTATATAGAAATTTTATTGTTCAAAATATGAGTAGTCTTTAGAATATTTTCAAAAAAATTTCGAAAAAAATATTTGCTTATTATAGTTGCACTCTGTCTATCCGTCTATCAAATAAAAAGTAAAAACTTTCAAGACGAATAACTCTTAACCTTTGGAATTATAAGTTTATACGGAGAGCCTATCAAAATAGTGGAAATACAAGTATCACTTTGCTTTTCAATTTTTAAATTCTGCAAACGCAGAGACTTGATAATTTACTGTTCTATCGTAAAATAATATTTGCAGTAATTTTCCTCTTATACAGCGACTTACACGATTAGGTCTTATAGTACTAATAGTGTTTATAGTTCTCAATAAATCAATAAACAACAGTAATCGTGTATTTAACCCAAAATATAGCTTAAATTTTTGTAATGGCCGAAAATTATAACTGAAAGATTTTCCCAAAATTATGCAATATTTTGTGAGAATAGTACACATAATGAAACATTAATACGAACTATAGAATAAAATTCTGGACTGAATTTATATGAAATAATATAAAATGAGTATGTCGCTTAAACAATGCCTCAATTTAAATGAGACATTTATGCAGTACAGTCTCTGTATATAAAAGTAGCTATAAGTATTTCATTCTCTGATTGCGGTATTTTACAAATTATGAAATTTTTGGAGTAAAACTTGTAATTTCGTTTGCCTTACTATAAGAGAGCAAATAAAGTAAATTTAGAGTGAAAACTTATTTTATTTTATAAAGAAAGCGTTAGTAACTTGTTTAAGCTCTTGTTTGAAATTAATTTAATCTTTAATTGGTTTGTTAATGATTAATTAATGAAAGCAAATTTTCTATCAGTTTTTCAATAAAAATATTTTTTATGCTATTAATTTTTTATGAAAATTCCCTCATGTAATTGTAGAACACATGAAATATTTTCTGCTTTGACTCGTTCTTGCGGCTACGCCATCTATCTGTTTTGCATTTGCATGAGAGCATTTTTGTTGTTTATTTTCATAAGATACTTTGACATATAAAGTTATTAAGAGACAAATAAGACACAGTTGTTGTTCACTTGTACATAATTGCAATTAAGTTACAATAAAGATTGATTAAATTGTCAAAATTTGGCTATAATTGAAAGTCATATTTGAATATTCGCAATTTTTAATTCGGTCTCTATTATAAATAATTTTAACTTTTATACCATTACAAGCATTTTAATATTTTATAAATCATAAAATTTTGTTGAGCAAAATAACATTTTCAATGTAATTTAAAATCCTTTTCAATAACTTTTATTTTAAATGTCAAAATCAAGTTTTTCAAGTTTTTCAAATAAATTTACATAAGAAACCCTAATCTTGAAGGCAATTTTCAAAAGATATAATTTGTGTTATCCATGATAATAAATAAAGTACCCGTTTATTTTCTAGATAATAAAAAAATTTTAAAATTCTAGTCACGTAAAAGAAACGTTTCCAGAATTACACGAATTTATTTTTTTTAAATAATCTTTAGTTAATATTCCTTATTATTTTAAAAAAGAATTATTTTGAAAAAGAAAGAAAAAAGCATTTTTGTCTTTTCATTTTCACAATTTTTATAAAATTTAAGTACAAAGTATTTGTTTACTTTGTATTTGAAACGCAGGTAATTAATTATTCATGAAAAAATATTATTGCGCACACAATGTTTTAAAAAAGGATCCCATAAAAATATTATTATTTTTTTTTTTAGTCCTAGTGGAAATAAATTAAAAGTGATGCTATTTATAAAGTATAAAATAAAAGAAAATTGAAAAATACATTTATGCTATGTGTGTATATCTAAGCAAGTGTATATTATTCTCTTTGAACTTCATTCAATTCGAGAATGGAAAAAATTGAAATTTTTCAACTGTATTATTTCATATCCTTACATTTTTTATTCTGAAGCACATAGCAAATAAGTCTACATAACGTTGTTGCCTTATTTTTAGAAAATTTTAGTTGAAATGAAAATAATAATTAGCGCTAAAGAAATTCATAAATTTAGGAAAATTATAAAATTCTTTTGTAGCAAATTTTGCATAAATTTAGGATGAATTCTTTTTACTTATGTAGAACAGAAGTTGCTTCAGATTTAGTTTGGATTAAAATTGATTATTGAAACCAATATTTTTTACAAGCGCATGTAAAAGTAAAAGTGAAGTTTTAGTTTAATCCAAGATTTCTTAAGCAATTAAGGATTGAATGGGACTTAATAATTCTTAGTGTATCATCAAATTTAATTTTTGGAATTGTTGTTGTAAATAGTTTTGCCGCCTTCCAATTCTTCTAAACTTGCATATTTAAATATATACAAGTTAAGAAAAATTGGTGAGATAAGGTTCGGAAAATCTTTGATATTTTTACTTCAAAAGAATCTTATATTGTAAACCTTCTTTAAAGTTCTTCTACCATTACCTTAGGCAATTCTTAACAATTCGATTATAAAATCAAAATCTTTCTTACCAACTTCCATGACACTATACCTTATTTGATTTTTGAAAGATTTGAAACTCATTTTTAGAACTGTGTGGCAGCATGACCAATATCTGTCATGCCATTTTAATAAAACTTCTTGGATATATTTAAGATGTTATTGGATACATGGCTGCTAAACTTATTGCAGTTACTCGTAGCTTTATTATTTTCTTCAATATTTAAAATTACATCTTTGAGTTGTATAGGAAAATTAAATTTTTCCGGAAGTGTCAATCTATATTTTACTAAAACCCGTAAGATTTAGAGTGAGCTAGAATTGAACAAACGAATACCGATTTTCATGGAGCTGTCTTTATTAGTTTTTAAAATATTTAAAATAATCTCTTTGAGTTGTATGGCAAGTACCCGAACATGTTAATAACAGTAGCCATACATTGCAAAAAATTAACAATTTGGGAAAGTTTGGTGACATTTCCATCATTTGTTTTTAACTTCAAATTCAAAACTGGAATTCCTTTAAAATATAGCACTCTAACGTTGGTAGTTAAAATTTAATTGTCGAACGCAATAACATTTTTTACAATAACATTTTGCTTACATTAAATTAATTTTCCACTCGTTCTTTATTCTTTAACATTCTAAAATATTCATTTTTTTTTCATAGAATTTCAAAGTTATGCGATAGCAAATTACCTAATTGGAATTTCGATTCAAATATTTAAAATAATTTACAACATAAATTAACTATAGCTGAGTACACTTAAATAAGCTCATAATTTAATTCCTGTATTTTTTACATCTACAACAGTTAAATGTAAATAATGATCATTTTTACACATTCTAAAAAAATTTTTCATTTTCTATTCAATGAATTTCTACTCTATACCTAAATATTGTTGAATCTACATTATTGAATAATTCAGTTAAAAAGGATAAAATAAGTAATATTTGAAAATATTTTCTCCTTTTGAAAAAAATAAATGGAATTTGTTAAAATTCAAATGTATTTTAAAGAATATTTTAAAAAGGACTATTGTCTTACAAAGATCATAACAAAATATAATTTAGAATTCTTTATAAAAACTTTAAAGATTTTTTCATCTATTAAAATTTAAATTTAAGAACAGTTTTAGAATATTAAGAAAGAAGTTTTGAATCTTGAATATAAAATGCTAAAGATAATATTGAGTCCTTCGGAATATATAAATATAATTCCGATTTGTAGAACTAAAATTCATAGAGAAGCCATTAAGTGTTTATTTCTCTTGCAATGTTCTTAGAATTCTGGAATTCGGTGAACTTCTACAAAAAGATGGAACGTTAACAGCAGTTTGTTTACGGTTTCCTAAATTGGAGAAACTTTAAAGTCAAAATTTAATGCTAGTTTGCTCTTACAAGAATTCATAAGCCAAAATAAACAAAAGAATTTAAATTTTTATAAAAAAAAGAATTTCAAAATAATTTAAATCACAAACCCAATTTTTCCTAGCTCTAAACAAATACAAACTTTTAGGACGTCCATTGGATACATTCCGTATTCAATAAATTGAAGTTTTTACTTTATTCTCATCTTTGATTATTTCTCTATTTTCTATTTTTACAATTTTTTCAAATTTCGTAACAACGTTTGCAATTATTCAGCTCTTCTAGGTTTAGGACAAAACTAAAATCAAGTAAATATAAAATTCTATTGTGAATCTAGACATACTGATTGAAAATGCTTTAATTTGCCAACAGTTTTACCAGAAAAATCTATTTGCTAAGAATTTTTGTGAAGAATTTAAGCAATGAATTTATTTACTACTTGTTATATAATGAATGTAAACGTTAAACAATGAAATTTAAAATCCTCAATATTAGTTCTAATTTAAATTTAATTCATCATTATATAATTACAATATTTAGTTATTTGAATAATTATTTTGCATTCTAAATACAAAAAGAGCTATTTTTAACTTTAGCTAATACAAAAATAAAATATCTGATGTGAACAGCCCATAATCGACAGAAATAAGTGAAGTTCAAAAATTTCGACAAACCCTGCAAGCCTATCGCAAGGTTTAACACGATCCTTAAAATGTTTTCTAAACACTAATTTAAAATTGAATTATAACAAAACAAGAAACCATTTGGT